TGTACTCTGTCCACTCACTGATCTAGGAAGTCAGCACAGGTCCCACATTGAGGACTGTTCTTTTTAAAACTTGAGAAAGACAGATTTTTTAAATGATACAGATAGTCCTGACATTAGACTGCAAGAGGTGAAACTGCTCACAGGGCTGTTGAAACAGTGAGATGCTTCCAGGACAATGTCAGCAGAATATTAATATTTAGAGATGAGACGTACACCACTGGAAAGTTATATGGCTCTTAGGCCTAATGACTTGACCATTCCTTCACAAATGAACACTTGATCCAATACAGGTCAATATTATGGAGGGTAAAAATATTTAAAGCAGAGATGATACTGACTTTCAATTTGAGTGTGAAAGTCATTAACGATGACCTGGAGCTGGGCCACATTCATGGGTGTAAGGATGCGTCTTGTGAGGCGCCTGACTCCTCGACATTCGTCCGGAACAGGAATCAGAGACGAGATGGGTTGAAGCTTCCTCCTCTGCCGCTCCAATTCCACTTGCATACGAGCCATGTGACCTGCCTGTGCCAATGCCTCCCTTGCTTCCTGCTGCAGTCTCAATTGCAGGTGCTCTACCCCCTCCTCTTTCAGTGCCTCTCGGATAGACAACTCTCTTGGCTTTTCCTGCAACAAGCTCACATTCATGCAAAATCTGCAACAAAAGAACTTTTAGTCGATTTCTGAAAGGCAGACATGGTTGGCAGATGATGCTTGAGATCCAGATGGTAACAGCTTCTGTGTTTCACTGGGTTTCTGACTAGGTGAAGAATTATGGTGGCCCTTTTCCTCAAAGTCACTGTCATCAGAGGCAGTTTCATTCACAAAGCAGATCTGAAGGTTCTTCCCACTCCGAACTCGAGATCCCAGGGCCTTACGATGAGCTCGTAAAGAGGGGCTCTCTTCTCCTAGGGCTAGACGACGTCGGATCTCATCCCGATTCGTGTGCCACTGAAAAATAACAATCACAGGCACTCTGCATTCATCTAAATGAATATCTAAGAACTTTACGAGTCAGAGAGGCACCCATGCTAAAAATACTTAAACA